GTACCACCATGCCTGACTAATTATTTTTATTTTTAATTGAGATGGAGTTTCACTGTTGTTGCCCAGGCTGAGGTGCAGTGGTGCGATCTCAGCTCACTACAACTTCTGCTTGTGGCTTCAAGCGATTCTCCTGCCTCAGCCTCTCGAGTAGTTGCGATTACAGGCATGCGCCACCACACCTGGCTAATTTTGCTATTTTTAGTTGGAGATGGGACTTCACCATGCTGGCCAGGCTGGTCTCACACTCCTAACCTTAGGTGATTCGCCCGCTTTGGCCTCCCAGAGTGCTGGAATTACAGGCATGAGCCACCGCGCCCCACCATGAATGTTCTAAAATTGATTGTGGTGATGGTTGCACAACTCTGTGAATATACTAACAGCCATTGCATTATACAATTTGTTTTTTATTTTTATTTTGAGAGGGAGTCTCCCGAACTCAAGTGATCCACCCGCCTCAGCCTCCCAAAGTGCTGGGATTACAGGCGTGAGCCACTGCATCCAGCCGCATTGTGCATTTTAAATATGTAAACTGTATGGTATGTGAATTATGCCTCAACAAAGTTGTTATTTGATAAACAAAGTCTGGGACAGCTGTGGTGGCTCGCGCCCATAATCCCAGCACTTTCAGAGGCCAAGGAGGGTGGATCACTATGTCAAGGGATCGAGACCATCCTGGCCAACATGGTGAAACCCCATCTCTACTAAAGATACAAAAATTAGCTGGGCATGGTGGTGCACACCTGTAGTCCCAGCTACTCAAGAGGCTGAGGCAGGAGAATTGCTTGAGCCCAGGAGCTGGAGGTTGCAGTGAGCCGAGACTGCGCCACTGCACTCCAGCCTGGCGAAGAGTGAGACTCCATCTCAAAAAAAAAAGGAAAACAAAGTCTGGTGGTGTGAAAACAGAAGGCTTACCTTCAGAGAGGAGAAGCAGATAGCTGCTGTAAAATCAAAGGTACAGGTGTTTTGTTTGGAAATAGTCAGAGAGGGTGTTGCAAAGTATACTAAAGCAGAGAAAGACCACAAGTCACTAAGACAGAATATGCCAAGGAGAATAAACCATGTTCCACCCCATTTACCATACAGCGAGGAAACCTTAGACCCTTTCATCTCAGAGCAGACAGCCAGCAAAGGCCTATCAGTTGCCTGCTACATGCCAGGCACCGTTCCAGAGGCTGGGGATCCAGCAGTGAATGGAAGAGCTGATCTCTGTTAGAGGAGCCCTTTTAGTTGGGGAAGGCAGATCGTAAACAAGGAAATGCGTATATGTCCTAAGAGGAAAATAAATCAGGCCAAACAGACGTCAAGTGGAGAAGGTACTATTTAGACAGGACAGTTGGTCACAGAGAGTGCTTTAATAAAATGACAGGTGAGCAGACACCTGCTGCATCACAGACGACAGCAAGTGCCCAAATCATCAGTAAGTGGTTGGATTAAGATTCAACGCTGGGGGTGTGGTGGCTCACACCTGTGAAGGCTTTGGGAGGCCACGGCAGGAGCATCACTTGAGGCCAGAAATTTGAGACGCGTCTGGGCAATGTAGTGAGACCCCTTTCTCTACAAAAAGACTTAAAAATTAGCTGGGTTTGGCAGTGCAAGCCTGTAATCTCAGTTACGTGGGAGGCTTGTGTGAGCCCAGCAGTTCAAGGCTGCTGTGATCACACCACTGCACTCCTGCCTGGGTGTCAGAGTGCAACCCTGTCTCTAAAAAAAGACTCAAGTGACTGGGCGCGGTGGCTCACACCTGTAATCCAAGCACTTTGCAAGGCCGAGGCAGGCGGATCACGAGGTCAGGAGTTTGAGACCAGCCTGCCCAATGTGGTAGAACCCCGACTCTACTAACAACGCAAAAATTAGCTGGATGTGGGGGTGCGCACCTGTAATCCCAGCTCCTGGGGAGGCTGAGGTAGGAGAATTGCTTGAACCTGGGAGGTGGAGGTTGCAGTGTGCCCAGATCGGGCCACTGCACTCCAGCCTGAGTGATAGAGTGAGACTCTGTCTCAAAAAAAAAAAAGACTCAAGCCAGGTTAATCTGACTTTACAGCTGCACTGTAAAGGGCAGTGGCTCCTATTGCTCACATCCCTGTTACCTTCCTCAGCATGGCTCCCAGGGGTGGGCAGCATCTTCAGGGGCAGCTACTCCCACTGGTTCATTCCTAAGAGCCGAGCACCTGCTCAAAGTCCTGCATGTTGCTCACAGGGACCCTGGGGTAACAGTATTATCATCCCCACTCTGCAGATGAAGAACGTGCACCCAGGGAGGTTAGGGAGCTCCCCTAAGGTTGTAACGTAGCCAGTGGCTGCAGAGCTGGCTTGGGAGTCAGGCCCCTGCACACTGGCTGCTCCCCCTGTCCTCACCACTCCGAAACCTGGGGCCCTGGGAACTGGGTCCGTTTCTGTTGAGCTTCCCAGGAGCAGGTCTTCCGGTTTTCTTACCTGGCTAAAGTGGAAGCTCTGTTTGAAGTATGTGTTAGTTTGATTTAAATTTGTGAGTATAAAAACATATTACAAGCTACATTTATTGTAAATGTTGTATAATGCAAAATTCAGATTGTACGTCTCATCAAGTAGCCTATATGACTGATATTTTATTCTAGGTGGAATTACTAAATTGATCTAAGTTAAAAAGTAAATTTAAAACACAGATAAAAGCGGTGATGATAAGCATGGCAGTCCAGGGTACGATGTTCCAAACATTAAAGAAGTTCTTACAAATTGGTAAGAAAAGCACTTCAGACAGAAACTTGGAAAAAGTCACAAATAGAATATTCATAAAGGAGGAAATATAAGTGTCCAATAACAATGAAAAAAATGCCCAACTCCATCAATTATCTAAAAATGCAAATTTCAGTGGGGTACTATCTTCACCCATCAACTAACTTGGCCAAGATTTCTTTTCATGGTTGTGTTATGTGAGGTTGTAAGTTGGTATAAACGCTCTAGAAAATAACTAGAAAATATGTATAAGAGTTTATACAAAGTCTCAGTCAGGCGCGGTGGCTCAAGCCTGGAATCCCAGCACTTTGGGAGGCCGAGAAGGGCGGATCATGACATAAAGAGATCAAGACCATCCTGGGCAACATGGTGAAACCCCGCCTCTACTGAAAATATAGAAATTAGCTGGGCGTGGTGGTATGCATCTGTAGTCCCAGCTACTCAGTAGGCTGAGGCAGGAGAATCACTTGAACCTGGGAGGCGGAGGTTGTAATGAGCCAAAATCGCACCACTGCCCTCCAGCCTGGCAACAGAGTGAGACTCCATCTCAAAAAGTAAAAAGAGTTTTTACAAAGTCTCAAACTGCATTCTTCAACACAGTGATACTACTCCAAAAATTCCATTCCAAGGAGCTTATCAGCAAAGAGGTAAATGACTTATACAAAGATATTTATCAAAAGAACATTTTAAAAATCTATGAATAGGTGCTCAAATTCCCATTATAGGCAATTATGTAGCCATCAAGCCTATTTCCAAAGAACATTTTTGATATGTGAAATTGTTCAAGAATCAGACATTTTAAAAGTTTAATATTAAGCAGGGACAACTATGACAGATTAAAATGTGATCAGAAGGCTTTTCTTACCTGTCCTTTGGAAAAACTGGTCTATCATCCAGGTATGTTAAGTGCTTCAGTCGCACAGTGACGGTCCTTCTGTAATTAGCAATGTGCCTGATAACCGGGTTTCCCATCAAATTCAGTACACGCTGCAAGAAGACAAGCAGAACCAAACTGATTAGTAAAAGATGCAATTGAATCATTGTATATGTGATGTGGACTAAGAATAAATAAACAAAATCTATTTTTTGAGCAAAATAGAAGTGCCAATATCACGTCCCGGTGACTTGATCCAAGAAACGGGAGGGTTTTCGATGCCCTCACGCTCTGAAAACTGTCTAGATCATTCAAACCCTTTCTTCCACTTGAACTTCAGCTCTTAGATCTCATCGTCCCTCCAGAACAATACTGGAAAACATTTCCTGAGGCTTTTTCTGAGTGCAGTTGATTATATTAGTTTTGCTACCCAACATCTTTTACTGAAATGCATCTCTGTGTAATTGATGGTTTTCTTTTCTTCCCAGCCAGGACCCATTTTAAGAAAACACACACAAGCCGCTAGACAGAGAAGCACCAGTGACTAAGGGAAAGGATGGGCAGTGCCCGCTTACCTCTGCTGAGTGTCGCAGGAAGGAAGGCCCTCTCCCTGGGCTCACAGCTCTCCCTGATGTCAGTTAGGACCAGGGAGGAGAGAGAGGTTCAGCAATGCCACCTGCCATCCTCCCCCATCTTTAAATACTGTCACCTCCTCTATTACCTTAAGAAATTCAAAGAAGTTGAATGCATAGGGGACTGGCACAGTGGTTCACTCCTGTAATCCCAGCACTTTGAGAGGCTGAGGCGGGTGGATCACTTGAGGACAGGGGTTCGAGACGAGCCTGGCCAACCCGGTGAAACCCCATCTCTACCAAAAAGACAAATATTAGCTGGGCATGGTGGTGTGCGCCTGTAAAGCAGCTACTCAGGAGCCTGAGGCAGGAGAATCACCTGAACCCCGGAGGTGGAGGCTGTAGTGAGCAGAGATTATGCCACTACTCTCCAGCCTGGGTGACAGAGTGAGACTCCATCTCAAAAAAAAAGTTGAATGCTTAAGGCAACATGAGGGTGAACCATTTCAAAATCTGTTTGCCTAAACTGATGGAATATTTCTCATATCAAAAGTGTTCCTTTGTTGGAAAAGGCTTCATAAACGAGTTAGTTTAGCATTTCCCAAACTTCATTCTCATGCCATGTTTCCCATTCTTGCTCTGCCTTCAAGTGACTTTCCCTGCACAGGGTGGGGCAGTGGGAGCAATACACCCAGGCGCAATAAAGGGGTACACGGGCTGGGGAGGATTTACGAGCAATCACACACAAAAAAACTATTAATATAAAGCAACCTGCTTTCGTTCTGGGCTGAATTGTGTCCTAATCAAAATTCAGATGTTAAAGTCGGAACCCGAGGCACCTCAGAAAGTAATTGTATTTGGAGATGAGACTTTTAAAGTGGTGATTAAGTTGAAATGAGCTCATTAGGGTGGGCCCTAATCCAATCTGACAGGTATCCTTAGAAGAAAGTAGGACACAGGGAGCACACAGCACAGAGGGAGGGACCCTGTGAGGGCCCGGGAAGAAGCCGGCCACCTACCAGCCAAGGAGCGGCCTCGGGAGAGTCCAACCCTGCCCACACCTTGCTCTTGACTTCCAGTTTCCAGAATTATGAGAAAATTAATTTCTATTATTTAAGCTACCTGGTACTTATGGCAACCAAAACCAAAACCAAAACCAAACCAAACCAAACCACGGGGGGATTGTAATCTAATAGAGCTTTCTATTCTCACCATGTGCTGCCATTCTAAACTAGTCTTTCCTAGTATGCTCTACAGACTGTTCCTCAACTATGGTTTGCTTTCAGCTGACTCACTTTTTTCCTTGCGTATCAATGCCCTAAGCAGTATATAATAAACTCAACGGTTTTGTGTGCTAGTTTTGATATCTCTTTCCTAGTACACACGACAACACAGACACTAAGAAGCAAGGAAGCTGTCAAAGGCTACTAGAGTGAGCTCAGAAGGACACGGGAGCAACCTGAAGGCTTCTCAAGCCCAAAGGATGGGATTTTTTTTTTTGAGACAGGGTCTCATTTTGTTTGGAATGCAGTGGTGAAATCTCAGCTCACTTCAACACCTCCCGGGTTCAAGCAATTCTCCCGCCTCAGCCTCCCAAGTAGCTGAGATCACAGGCATGCACAGCCATGCCCAGCTAATTTTTCTATTGTTAGTAGAGACGGGATTTCACCATGTTGGCCAGGCTGGTCTCAAACTCCTGGCCTCAAGTGATCTGCCCACCTTGGCCTCTAAAAGTGCTGGGATTACAAGTGTGAGCCACCGTACCCTGCCCAGATGGGAAAATTTGAACATGAAAAATTAAAGTGACAGCAAGAGTTAAATCATGTCAATATTGCATATATAAATGTGTGCATTCATAATGATACCGAAAAAAAGAAAGTCTTCATTGTCACCATGAGAGGTTGCTAGGGTCTTAATTCATTTCACTGAAAATTGATAAATAGCCAGCTTGAGCAACATGGCAAAACCCCATCGATACAAAAAATACAAAATTAGCTGGATGTGGTGGTACACACCTGTGGTCCCAGCTACTTGGGAGGCTAAGGTGGGAGGGGCTTGTGAGCCTGGGAGGTTGAGGCTGCAGGGAGCCATGGTTATACCATTATACTCCATCCTGGGTGACAGAGCAAGACCCTGTCTCAAAAAAAAAAAAAAAAAAAAAAAAGGCCGGGCACAGTGGCTCACACCTTTAATCCCAGCACTTTGGGAAGCCAAGGTGGATCACGAGGTCAGAAGATGGCTAACAGGGTGAAAACCCACCTCTACAAAAAATACAAAAGAAAATAGCCGGGCGTGGTGGCACACGCCTGTAGTCCCAGCTACTCAGGAAGCTGAGGCAAGAGAATCTCTTGAACCCAGGAGGCAGAGGTTGCAGTGAGCTGAGATTGCACCACTGCACTCCTGCCTGGGCGACAAAGCGAGACACTCTCAAAAATTAAAAAAGGAAAAGAAAAATAAAATCAATAAATAAAAGGGCTAAACACTGATCCTGGCCTTTTCTGTATGAACTGGATGAACCACTAGCTGGTGAGTGGAAGCTCATTGAAGTATTCTAGCTAAATAAATGCTGAGAGAGTGAGATAACTGGAAAATTGTCATTGTGTGGCTCCTAATGAAATAATTCATCTAGGAAACGTTCATCAGTGGCTGTTAAAATAACCGGGAGAAGGAGTGATGGGGAACTTCAAAATGGCTGGACCAGCCTGACAATATCTGAACCTATTAGTGAATCTTCAAATGAAAAGGAGAAGCAAGCAGGCCTCACGTGCCCCCCAATGTGAGGACCTGGCAGTGGAAGGACCTGGCACACCACAAGGAGAAATATTCAGCCTGGATACCATGCAGCCTCCAGTTCTGATATCATTTTACAGGAAATACCAGAGCCATCAGAACATATTAAGTGGCCCCAAAAGAATGCAATCAGCTACGTGCAGAATGTGGGTAACACCAGATAGAGGACCTGGTTTCCTTGAAAAATTAATTGAGTGGTGGCTGGGCATGGTGGCTCATGCCTGTAATCCCAGCACTTTGGGAGGTTCAGATGGATAGGTCACTTAAGGTCAGGAGTTCAAGACCAGCCTGGCCAACATGATGAAATCCCAAATCTACTAAAAATACAAAAATTATCTGGGCATGGTGGCAGTCACCTGTAATCCCAGCTACTTGGGAGGCTAAGGCAGGAGAATCGTTTGAACCCAGGAGGCAGAGGTTGCAGTGAGGCAAGACTGCGCCACTGCATTGCAGCCAGGATGACAGATCGAGATGTTGTCTCAAAAAAAAAAAATAATTAATTGGGTGGGAGGAAATCAGGGAAGAGAAACTGTTATAAATAGAAAGAGAATGACAAGACAAATAAACCAAATGTAATGTCTGAATCTGGTTTGAATTGGAACAACACAACTGTCAAAACATATTTTTGAGACAAATGGAAAACAAATGTAGACTGGGCATTCAGTGTGGTGATTATAATATTCTAGATACAATAGGATTGTGATTATACTTTAAAAAGTCCTTATCTGGGCAGGGTGCTGTTGCTTATGCCTGTAATCCCAGCACAGCACTCTGGAAAGCTGAGGTGGGCGGATCACCTGAGGTCAGGAGTTCGAGACCAGCCTGGCCAGTATGGCAAAAACCAGTCTCTACTAAAAATACAAAAACTAGCCAGGCATGGTGGCACATGCCTGTAATCCCAGCTATTCAGGAGGATGAGGCAGGAGATTGCTTGAACCTGGGAGGCAGAGGTTGCAGTGAGCTGAGACTGCGCCAGTATACTCCAGCCTGGGTGACACAGCGGGACTCCATCTCAAGAAAAAAAAAGTCCTTATCTGTCATAGGTACACACTGAACTATTTGTGGGTAAAATAATATGACATCTGGCATTTCAAATACTCCAGCTAAAAACACAAAGAGGAAAAAAGTGTGAAAAAGGAAAGGAAGGAAAGCAGGAAGGAGAAAAAAGACAAAAAAGACTTGATATTTAATGAACATAATGGAAGCAGTTTTCTGTGGTGCTTTCTTGTTTTTTTTTTTTTTACCAAATCGGGCATGCATTCCAGAATGTTCAGGATCTCCGGGTCGCTCAGCTTGTTGTGTGAAAGGTCAAGGACACAGAGCCTCAAACACTCGCGTAGATGCTGAATGTCCTCCACAGTCTCCAGGTGATTGTGGGCCATCTGCAGTGTATTCAGGACTGGGAGGCAGGCTGGAAGGTAAGGTCAGCAGAAGTCAAAAACAAAGGCATAAAAATCCTGCACCAGGGACAGCAGTGCACATCTGGAATCCCAGCACTTTGGGAGGCTAAGGTGGGAGAATCTTTTGAGCCCAAGAGTTTGAGACCAGCCTGGGCAACAGAGTGAGACCCCACATCTACAAAATAGAAAAACTTGCCAGGTCTGGTAGCAAGTGCCTGTGGTCTCAGCTGCCTGGGAGGCTGAGGCGGGAGGATGGCTCGAGACCAGGAGGTTGAGGCTGCAGTGTGCTATAACAGCACTGCCGGGCTTCAGCCGGAGTGACAGAGCAAGACCCTGTCTCAAAAAGAAGCAACGCAAAGCAAAACCAAAAGCATTTCTTGCCTATAATATAAAATCTCAGAGCCTCCCTCAGGGGAAAGTGATGGGCACATGGCAAACAGAAACATTGCTGGGTACTCTTACAGAGGTTTTCAATGGTCTTGATGTAATTGTTGCTGAGGTTAAGAGCGTCCAGTTTCTGCAGAGGTTCCAGGTTCTCGATTTTATGGAGCAAGTTCACTTGCAAGAAGAGGCAACGCAACTCGGTTTGGGCCTCCAGGTTTTCAATTTTCCGTATTCCATTGCACTGCAGCCAGAGACAGCGCAGCCCTGTGTATTCTTCCAGGTTCTCAATGCGGTCAAATCCTAACAAGAAGGAAGCACAAGGGAATTAGGCTCCTACTCACAAGACAGAGGGGTCATGGCCACCCTTGTTTTTGCCTATATGAGAGACTAAATGTCTGTGTCCCTTCAAAATTCATGCATTGAAATCCTGACCCCTAATGCGATGGCATTAGGAGGTGGGAGTTTTGGGAGGGGATAAGGTCATGAGAGAAGAACCCTCATGAATGAATGGGATTAGTGGTCTCATAAATGAGGCCCCAGACAGCTCCTTTGCCATCTTCACCATATGAGGATACAGCAAGAAAGTGCCATCTGAGGCCAGGCACGGTGGCTCATGCCTGTAATCCCAGCACTTTGGGAAGCCAAGGGGGGGCGGATCACGACGAAGTCAAGAGATCGAGACCATCCTGGCCAACATGGTGAAACCCCATCTCTGAGG